TGCTTGCCAACTCTGCATGCCAACACTGCATGCCCACGCCTTCTCCCATTTACATGTCTCATCCTGCAGGTGGTTCTCCAAGGTGGTTCTCCGTGGGAATACGCCCTACAGCGTCATCAGCTACAACTGCAAACTTGGGTTTGAGAGGAATTGGTTCACCGTTCAAATATTAGTGTGCTGCCTTGGCCACGATTCTGATAGCCTCGTCGCAACATTATTTCCATTTTCTCGTTCTGATCTTTGACGTGGGCAGTAAGATTTTATCATGTAGATGTCTCGTGAACGCAAGTACCTTCTGTAATCACACCAAGCCGAAATTGCGGTCGCTGAGGATCAGCTTGCCGACACTCGAGAGCAGAGAGTTCCAACATGAAGCCCCATCTTTGCAACAACACCAAAAAGGTCCGTGATCTTCGATCTCTGCCTGGTAGTTTGATCAAGTCCTTGACTAGCTTGAGCCTGTACTTGGTGATGCGTTCGTCGAGCGACAGTGTCTTGATCTCCTCCTTCCTGCGCGTGGCCCACGACAATACCCCTTGCGGATCCAGCTTGTGGCACGTTCTCGTGAGCAGAACTTGTCCGAGAGGTTCCGATTCCCACTCAGGTTCCGCTCCCCCCGCCAGATCTGGGTTGTCGTAGCCAATGATAATCAGGATGTCTTGCCAGGCCACCTTGCTCCATTCATCATACACTTGACTCATCATCTCCTTCGCATCAATGTTTGCCTGTCCATGTATCGCGTACTGCTGCTCATTTGGAACAGGAACAGGCTGCCCAAAGAGGTAATCGATCCTCTTGCTCATGCCACCTCCTCAACCTCCTCAACCTCCTCCGCCTCCTCCTCCTCCGTTTCCTCCTCCGTCTCCTCCCCCTGATCATCGTCCTTTTTTCTCGGGATGCGCCAACACCCAGCTTACATACAAAGAGAGAAAGAGAGAGAGACAGAGAGAGCCAAACCAAAACAGAAGGAGCACCCCGACAAGCGAAGCTCTTCACGAAACGCACCTGAGGAAGGGATCGCACAGGGCAGGGCCGCTCAGGAAAAACGCCCAGGGCTGCTCTCTTTGTGCTGAGTGAGCGCTCCAGTTCTGGGGTCGGAGCGGCTTCTTCTGCCTTGGCGCACACGCGCGACCCAAAGGGAGTGCCCTCCGCCGTTCCTCGCGCGGGCGCGGGGGGCGCGCGGCGCGCCCCCCCGTGCCCGCGGAACGACAGCCGCCGCCCCCCCGGCGCCCACGCGCGCTCCGGGGCGCCACCCCGGCAGACCGCCGCCCCTCGGCTCCGAGCCCGCAGCGCCCGCGGAGCCGCAGCCGCCGCGGGGCGGCCAGCGCCGCCCTGGCCTCGGAGCTGGCGTCTGACTGCCTACCAGACCACCCCAACCCAACCCGAAGACCCGAATTTCGGGTTGGGGGGGGTAAGGGTTCCACATGTGTTTTTGTCGATGTTTCCCGACCCCACCACACTGGAAATCGAGGGTAAATCTGAGCCTTCGGGTTGGGTTGGGGTGAGTTGGCGGGTGGTGAGCGTCGGCACGGCCGAAAGATGGAGCCCCTCGCGGCAGCCCCTTCGGCCACGCCGGCCCGCGAGAGCTCCCGCGCGGGGCGGGCGCGGGTCTGGGCGCGCTGCCCGAGCGGGTGCGGCAGGTGCGCGCGTCGTGCCGGCTTCGGCGGTTGGCCTCTGGCACCGCGGGGATCGTTCAACCGTGCACGCTCGGCCGCTTCCGCAAGGGCAGACTGTTCCACATCGACCGATTCTTGATCGCCGGCGGCGTCCAACGTTTACCGCCGGCGGCGGGGTCGCCGCGGGTCGACACGGCGCGAGCCTGCCGTATGGGGCGGGGGCGGCCGCCACACCCCGACCGCGTGTTCCGCGCGGGACAGCTGACGCCTGCCAGGCCGATCTCGGCCGCGGGCCGGGCGGGCGGATCGGGCAGGCCCGGGTCGACGGCACGCGGGCAACGAGATGGGACGCAAAAGGACATACTAGCGCCATGCGTCCGCCTTGGAAGCGTGCGCGCGTCCAGCCCCAAGATGCCCTCGAGAGGCCCCCAAAAAAACCCAAGAGGCCCCAGACCGGCCCCCCAGAGGCCTCCAAACTGCCTCCACGAGGCTCCCAAAAGCCCCCCGCGACATCCCAGCGAACGCCATCAAGGCATACGACCCACAACCCAGGCACGGTGACGGGATGGGCCGAAGACCATTCGATACTAGTGTTGCGTCCTCCTTGGAGGCTTGCGTCCGACAAAACCACACAGCGATGGCATATTGTGGTGCGTCGCTTCCCGAATGGCGTGGCGAAACAAAACAAAACATAAAATAACAAACAACAAAAAACACCGCCGAGCACACGCTATAAGATCTCTCGGCGCGCGCGTCACCCGTGGGTTGCAGACGCACACATGGACGATTTCGAAAACCCTGAACCCAAAGACGTGTTCATCTCTTGGGGGCGCATGTTTTAATTACTTCCGCCACCTTCCGCCAACCTTCCGCCGGCTTCCGCCAGCGGGGGCGGCCTCGTTTTGCCGCCGCCAACCTTCCGCCGCCCTGCCGCCGCCTTCCGCCGAGGAAGAGATGACAGCTCCTTTGATTCTCGAAAGCAAATCATTTTTTGGCAAGCGTTTTCTTATTCGGCGTTTCGACACTGGGCGGAAGGGTGGGAGGGAGAGGGGTCTGGCTCCGGACCTCTGCTTGCGTCCTGTGGGGGAGGCTCCACCCCTGATCGAAACGAACGCCAAACACGGCCAAGAGTTGTTCCATGGGAGGGGGGGGAGGGGTGCGAGGGCCCGCGCCGATCGGCAAAACAGCGAATAAAAAACGGTCACTTGCTTTTGGTTCCCCCCGAAAGGGCCTTCTGCTATCTGCGCAGGCCTGGGTGCACCCACTGGGTGGCGCGAGTGCCCACTCAGCCTCCCAAAGGGCATCCTGGCGCTTGCCACTTACGCTCGCCCGTGTGGGCGCGAGGCAGGAAAAAGAGCGCAACGCTGCCGCGTTGCTGCGCCGGCGCGCGGCGCGCAGCTGGATGCCAATAAATGATGGCATCAGGATGTTGAGGTGACTCGGGTGGACCCAAAAGGGGGTGGGGTTGCAATACATGTCGGGGCGCAGATGCATTGCTGTTTTTCGCGTGCAATACCTGGAATACAATGCAATACAGTGCGGGCGCGGCCACAAGAAACCCTCGCAAGAAACCCAACCCTGAGAACCCGTGCACGAGGTACACCTGAGGGGAAACCCGGAGCACCCTGAACGCAGCAGCTCCTTCAACGGCTGCGGGAAGTCACCGCGCAGCGCGAGGAGCGAAGAAGCCCAGGACACCCTGACGAAAAGCAGATGGCTTCTTGATGCGCGCCCCCACTGTACAATACAACTCTCTGGCGCAGTACATTTGCAATACAATCGCCCCAAAATCTCTTGCACCACCCCCTTTCAGCTGGACCCCCTCTTGGTCCACCCCGAGTGGATGCCATGGCGAGCCTCTGCGCAGGAGCGGCACGCTCGTGCGCGCGCGGCTGGCCCCTCGCTGCGGGCGGTGCGCCGGCAGCGGCCCGCAGGGCCTTCGGGGCCAACTCCTCCCGCGGCGCCTCCTCCTCCTCCTCCTCCTCCTCTTCCTCCTCCTCCTCCTCCTCCTCCTCCTCCTCCTCCTCCTCCTCCTCCTCCTCCTCCTCCTCCTCCTCCTCCTCCTCCCCTCCCTCCCTCCCTCCCTCCCTCCGTCCCTCCCTCCCTCCCTCCCGCCATGCTCGGCGCCGACGTGTTCGGGCCTCCAAAGGTATGATTTCGTAGTCGGCGACGGCCGAAGCCAGCCCACATCGACCATCGAGATTCTCCTGAATCGACGGGCGGCGGGGGGTTAGGGCTCGGACTTCGCCACGCGCTCGCGGAAAAACCTGAACCCTGCCCCCGCCGCCCACCGAGCTGCCTGGACCGCTGCTGGGGCGAGGGCAGGGCCGACCTCGCCGTCGAATCCGGCCCCAAAAAACCTGTTCGGCCCATCTTGCTCGCTCGGCCGACTGGCCGATGATTGGCCGACTCTCCGACTGGCCGACTGGCCACAGCCGCGGCCCGCGTGCTTGCACGCGGCCTCTCCGCGCAGCCCCCCCCCCCCGAGAGGGCCCGCGCCCGGTGCCACTCCGGCGGAGGCCCGCGCTTGCGTGCGGCCGCGGGCCCTGCCTCCACCAGGAGAGGAAGAAAAGAAGACTGCAGAAGCACACACGTCGCTCCTTTCCAATCGTGCCCACTTCTAATGCTGCTCGTTTCTACTTGTTCCTGGGCCCCTGGTGGCCAGGAAGGGGCCCAGGATAGAAGGATTAGAAAGGAAAGGATCTTGGCCCCCAAAAAATCCAATAATTTTGGAACAACTAGACATGAACAACGTGTCCATGGAGGGCGCACAAACATGGATTAGCGATCCATGGACTTGGCGCGCGGTCGCCGAATACATGGACCCGGGGAGGCGCCGCCTCGCTCGGCGGCGGAAATCCGCGACTTCCCGTGGCAACGGGACCCGTCGCTAACCCACGCCCCCTTGGATCCACGTTCGCGATCGCCTGAATAAACTATCGGTCCGAGTCGGGGGGGGACAGAACCCCCTTCAGCGAAAGCCCCTTCATGAAAGTTTCCAGGGGCACGCCACGTTCGCACGTGCGCACGGCACCGCATCCCGAGTGCACCCCAGCAGGGCAGCTGATCGACGTCCAAAACCAGCCCGACGCATCCAGCGAAGCACCCGTCGACTAGCGAAGCCGACCTGGGACTGCACTGGCACACCCGAACGCCAATGTCGAGCGAACCAGTGCAAATTCCCCCAGTCGACCTGCCTGGGTGGGCGTTCTCTCCCTGCCAGACCGAGTCTATGCTGATGCCGTGTTTCGTCTTCGATCCGCGCCCCCTGGCTCGTTCCCCCATCGTTCCCTCCTCACTCCCTGCCTCCCCTCTCCCTCCTCTCTCCTCCGCCCGCCCGCCCCCCCCCCCTCCCTCCCCCGTTCGCTGGGAAGGGCCGGGGGCCCTCTGCTGGCACGAGGCCCTCGCACTCCGCCCTCATGTCGTCGAAGTTCTCCGGGGTCACGTGCAGCAGCTGGCGGGGCGCGCGGGAGGGGGAGGGGGAGGAGGAGGAGGAGGAGGAGGAGGAGGAGGAGGAGGAGGAGGAGGAGGAGGAGGAGGAGGAGGAGAAGCAGGAGGAGGAGGAGGAGGAAGAGGAGGAGGAGGAGGAGGAGGAGGAGGAGGAGGAGGAGGGGGAGGAGGAGGAGGGAGGAGGAGGAGGAGGAGGAGGAGGAGGAGGAGGAGGAGGAGGAGGAGGGGAGGAGGAGGCAGAGGGGAGGAGGAGGAGGAGGAGGAGAGGAGGAGGAGGAGGAGGAGGAGGAGGAGGGAGAGGAGGAGGAGGAGGAGGAGGAGGAGGAGGAGGAGGAGGAGGAGGGGGGCGCGGGGGGTGGGAAGCCGCGAGCCGCGGCTGCGCAGGGACGCCTCCCGCGCCGAAGCCGTCTCCTGGCGCGCCTGCGCCGCTGGGCCCGCGCCTCCTCCCCGCACAGCGCCCCCAGCCCCGGCTTCCTGCGGCTTTTTTCTTGGCCTCCACGGGCGCCACCACACAGGGGACCGCACGCGCTGGAGGTCGCTTGGGGGGCAGCGTTGCTTCCAAGGCCAGATCCCAATACGCTCAGCCGGCGCGCTTGATCCGTCCATAAGAATCCTTACGACGCCCATCCGCGACAATTTCGGACCCTCGGTTTGCTCTCACCGACGATTGGGCTGCTTAGGTTTGCTCTTACCCTACGAGCATTGCCTCTCCCCCGTCGCCCCAAAAACACAGATCGCGTTCGCTGCCCCTCAGCGAGCTGAAACGTACGCGCCATTTGTGGGAGAATGGCGTGCGACAGCTCTGGCAGGATCGCCCCGCAAGAGTGCGGAAGCCTGCGGGCGGAGGGGGGGGGGGGCGAGGCGGGAGCGGGGGGGGGGCAGGGGATTCTTAGGACGTCGGCGCCGATGAGGCCGGGGGCCAGTCGGCACAGGCCGGCGCGCGGCCCGCAAAAGACAGTGAGCCGACGAGTCTGCTGGGGGCACCGAGGCTGGAGTAAGACAGGCAGACAGGACGGAGCCGTCAGATCCGTCCGCAGCGGCGGAGAGCAGGAGCTGGGAGCGACGCCGAGCGCGTTGGGCTGCTGGGCGGGGCCTGGCGGCAGATCAGACGAACCCTCCAGAGGGGTACGGTCGGGCTGTTGAAATTGAGGATCGCCACGGAACTCACCCCACTCTTTGGCTCCAGAAGTGCCTGGGTGCACGACGAGGGCTAGAGTAACAACCACGCGATGAGCTAAAGAAAAGCGAGCCGCTTCCGAACCCAAAGCGGTCCTTGTTTCGGTATCTTGGCAGTAGCGCCGAGATGCCACTGAGTGCACTCGGGTGCCAGGCTAACCCCGTGCCAAGTCAATCCAAGCCAAGCCAGGCTAGGCCACGCCAAGCCAAGCCAGGCGAAACTGAGCACAGCCACGGGAGGCCAAGCTTGCCCAAACTAAGATAAGCTCGCCTTTGCCACACTGCGCTCCATGAGATCAGCGACGACTAGCTGCGCTGCGCAAAATAATTGTATATGAGATTCCACACAATCGAGGCTAAGCAACGCCAAGCTACGCTGAAGCAGAGCAAGATGATAGACGATGAGCTGGTATTCCCGCACGTGAAGCCACGTTACCTCAAAACTCCCAGGCATATTAGGACTGGATCCTCCTTGGGATTGACGGGCGACGTCCCTCTACTTCCTTTCTTACGACAGCTCGCCTATGCTTCGATTGTGGATGGCTGGCGTAGATACGCGAAGGGTCAATAATTCGGCAGGAAGTGAATGGTACGTGTCATCCCCCTTTCGTCTGACCATCCCTGGGGGTTCTCCGATGTTCAGTCAGCCCCATAGCATTGCAAGCATGTTCCAAGCATCTGTCCTGCCGTGTTATCCCTCGGCGCTGTGGTGCTGGAACAGACTAGCACCCTTCTCCACCCCAGCTTTCAGCCCTGCCCCCCACCCCACCTACATCCTCAAATCCTGAAGGAGAGCAGCGACGACGAGACCCGCCAATGCCAACGATCACCTGAACAGATCTGCCGATGAAGAAAGATTACACCTCTATGCAAACGCCTAGCCGAAGCCTGGACATGGCCGCCCACCCAAAGATCAGAGTGGTATGGCGCTGCAGCCGTCATCATGCAGTAGCGTTAAGTCGGGCCTGTCCCCCTACAGGGGGATTTTCGATTACATAAAAATATAAAAAAAAAGTCCAAACATAACCCAAAAATAGTCCAAAAATAGTCTGGGAACTATTTTTGAAAGTATTATTTTACCTTTTTGGAATATTTTTGGTGTATTTTCATTTTTCGTCGAAAATCCCCCTGTAGGGGGACACGCCCGACATAACAATGGCGTCCAAATCCCCATCCTTCTAAAGAAAGTTAAGCGAACGCCGGAAAAACCCAGGGAGGCGAGGCGGTGCCTGGCTGGCCCGAGGAGGGCAGGAGAGGCGGGAGAGGCAGGGCAGGCAGGGAGAGCGCGCAGACGCCCGGGGGAGCCCCAAGATCAGCTGAGCAGGGACCGACCGTCCCGGCATTCCTATAGTCCTACCACGAAAATTTCTTAGAACCCAGAAACGTTCTAAGAGCAAAAGCAATGTTCTTAGAACATGAGCCCGATGTGAGAAAACAAGACAGACTCCGCCAGAAATGTTCTAGGAACATTTCGTGAAAACCACAGAAAGGTTCTTAGAACTTTGTTTGGTAGGGCTATAGGCGAGCCAGGACGCTTCGCCACTGCTTGAATCAGAGACGTGCATCCTAGGCACCCCCCCTGGATCGGCCTGCGTCGGCCAAGACGGCGACCTCAGCTCCCGCTCCGGCGAAGCTCTCTCCCCCCGGCCCCCCGACGTCGTGATCTCGTCACGGCGCGGACCCCCAGCGGCCTGGACCCACTCCCCAGGACCGGCTTTCCCTCATGGATCGTTTTCGGACGGTCCCGAGGGCTGGCAAGGGCCCCTGGAGGCGGAAAATAATGCTTTACCCAGGGACGTACCCAACCCTGTGTACACATGAGGCGGCTATACACCGGACCGCTCAATACAAAAGCGAGCACTAAAGGATCCGCCGTGCCCTTGGAAGGATTCGCCAAAGAACGTCGGGCCAGATTCACATGCTCATACATGCAGCGTCGCTCTTAAGAGTCAGATCGTTGGCAGGAAGGCGGCCACGAGGGAGTGTGGAAACACAGAAAGGAGAGACGATCGGAGACATAATTCGTAAAAGCAGCGCCGCTGGACCCCCCAACGTCGTAACCCAGCCCCCCAGGGGACAGCGAGGTCTCATGGTGATCCGCGTAAGACGCACCTCGGCTGGGCGTCCCAGGAGCTCACGAAAGTGGCGACGGTTTCGCAGATCGCAGCGCCACAGGGGACGACGAGGTCTCGTGGTGATCTGCGTAAGACGCACCTCCGCTGGGCCTCCCAGAAGCTGACGAAAGTGGCGACAATGTCGCAGATCGCAGCCCCCCAGGGGACGGCGAGATCTCATGGTGATCTGCAAAGGACGCACCTCCGCTGGGCCTACTAGGAGCCGACGAAAGTGGCGACGGTTTCGCAAATCGCAGCCCCCCAGAGGACGGCGAGGTCTCATGGTGATCTGCGTAAGACGCACCTCCGCTGGGCCTCCCAGGACTCCCACGAAAGTGGCGACGGTTTCGCAGGTCGCAGCCCCCCAGGGAACGGCGAGGTCTCATGGGTGATCTGCGTAAGACGCACCTCCGCTGGGCCTCCTAGGACTCCCACGAAAGTGGCCATAGTTTCGCAGATCGCAGCCCCCCAGGGGAGGGCGAGATCTCGTGGTGATCTGCGTAAGACGCACCTCCGCTGGGCCTACCAGGAGCCCACGGGAGTCGCGACAGTTTTGCAGTGCAGATCAGATCGCAGCCCCCCAGGGGATGAAGAGGTATCATGGTGATCTGCGTAAGAGGCATCTCCGCTGGGCCTCCCAGAAGCTGACGAAAGTGGCGACGGTTTCGCAGATCGCAGCCCCACAGGGGACAGCGTCTCGTGGTGATCTGCGTAAGACGCATCTCCGCTGGGCCTCCCAGGACTCCCCCGAAAGTGGCGACAATTTCGCAGATCGCAGCCCCCCAAGGGTCTCGTGGTGATCTGCGTAAGACGCACCTCCGCTAGGCCTCCCAGGAGCCCACGGAGCCTCCGCTGCGCAACTGACGACACCCGAGCGAGCCGCGGGCACGAGGCAGGACGCAGGCGGGAGGAGAGAGGGAGAGGAGGGAGAAGAGGGAGGAGGCGGGAGGAGGGGGAGGAGAAAAAGGACGGGGCAGGCAGCGCTCCACTCGAAACGAGCAGCCGTCCCAGGGAGGGCTGGCCAAGGCCCCCCGTCGCGCCTTCTTCGGGCCCCCTGGAGACCGAAAGTGGCGCACGGCCTCCCGCCGGCACTCTTCCAGGACCCGAGCCTCGAGGGGGCTCCGGGCCGCGCCGGGCCGAGGGCCCCCCCTGGAGGGGGCGCGGGGCCTCCCGGGGCGCGCTCAGTGAGCCCGCCCGCGCCCGCGGGCCCCCGAGGGCCGAGCCCTCCGAGGGAGCGGCGCGGCCGCCCCCGGCCTGCCCGCCGCGCCCCTCGGGCGCCCGCGGGCGGCACGGACTGGGTCGGCGGCGAGCGAGGGGGGGGGGAAGCTTCGGGCTCGAGGTTCGAGAGGCTTTCGGGCGGTTTCGGCGAGGGGGGGGAGCTTCGGGCTCGAGGTGCGAGAGGTTTTCGGGCGGTTTCGTCGGTTCTCGGCGACGTCGTTTCACCCTCGGGGTGCGTTCCAGCGGCTGCGCCTCGCCGAGAGCGTTCTGGGGATGCCCGGATCGTCCCGGACGGCCGCCAGAGACGCGAGTTATGACCCCCAAACCAGCTTCGGTGGCGCGCCGGGAGGGAAGTGAGAATGAGAAGGCCTTCTCAGAAGGCGGCGGGACTTCTCGGAAGCCCACGCGCCTTCTGAGAAGTTTTCTGCGTCTTCGGGGAAGGCTTCAGAAAACTTCTCCGGAGGCCGTGGGACTTCCGAACCTTCTGAGAAGGCCT